AGCTTGGCTACGTTGTGACGTTAGTTTTTTCTAAAGGTTTTTCTAGCTTTGGCCTATAGACCGGGATAAATTTAAAAATGTTTCGACCAGGTCCAGTGATTACAAATTATGTTGCTTTTTGCTGCCATGCGTCACAACAAATTTATCAAGGACGTCAGATATCCAGCTCCAGACATCAACAGCAATGACATAAATTTTCTGCAGGTTAGTTCATTATTATTGGGTATGGACATCGTTTTTCTTCATTTTAATGTCCCTAGACGTCAGCTTGTGACTTGCCGCCGCCATCTTTGTTACCTTTGACCTGACAGGGGGACCGTCCATTATAAAAGGGGAGGGGTGTAAGTTTTTCACACAGCAAAAGTTGCAGTATAAAACACAGCAAAAGTTGCAGTGTAAAACACCAAAAGTTGCAGTGTAAAACACCAAAAGTTGCAGTGTAAAACACAGCAAAAGTTGCAGTGTAAAACACAGCAAAAGTTGCAGTGTAAAACACAGAAATAGTTGCAGTGTAAAACACCCAAAGTTGCAGTGTAAAACACCAAAAGTTGCGGTGTAAAACACCAAAAGTTGCGGTGTAAAATTTTGTACTTGTCGGCCACGGTAGAACACCAACAAAACTTTACACATTAGATTGTTACTGAGGCCCTGTTCAGACGAAATCGGTTGAAAAGCGATTCGGGTAAATCGCATTCTCACATCTGGGCCACGTGCCAAACGTTCCTTCGAAATCGTGCCCAAGCACGATTCGGCTAAACTACAATCATTGCTGTTGGATGAAAAGACACAAGATGGCGTCGTATCAATGTCAGAGGTCCATCGCAGTTTTCTTGGTCTTACTGGTGTGTTCCTGTTTTTTTTCCAGATGAAGTACTGCTACCGTGACAGAGACTGTACGATAGAACAGCGGTGTGACACCTACTACATGCCGCAATACGGCTATGGTATCTGCGCAGAAGACCTGTCTGCATTGTCTCTGGTAACTTCTTATCCTACATTACCTTGATAATGAACTATCTTTTGTATCTTTGTTACCTTCGCCAAGAAGGTTATGTTTTCCATAGCGTTTGCTTGTGTGTGTGTGTGTGTGTGTGTGTGTGTGTGTGTGTGTTAGTGTGTGTGTGTGTGTGTGTGTGTAATTTAGCACGATAACTCAAGAAGCTTTAGATGGATTGATATTTGGTAGGTGAATAGGTGTTGATAAAGATCTAGAAATGATTAGATTTTGGGCCCCTGACGGCTTGCCTTGGTATTGCAGCAGAATTTCCGGTTTTGATATCTCATGATCTGGACATGCTACGGTCACGAATTTTGAATGATAGATAGCTCTTGGGATTAAGAAGACTTGACATTAGTTTGGGCTCCCTAGTAGCTTGTACTGGAACTGCAGGGGAATTTAAAAAAATCTTCGAGGTAGGATAACTCAAGAACCGGCTGACGGATTGTCACAATTTTTTAAATACGTAGGTAGCTTAAGTGATGGTTGACTGACATAATTAGATTATAATTATGCAAATCAGGAGCTAATTTGATTGCTATTCACGTTTGCCTCTCCTTCCGGTCCCTTGCCCCTCCAGCCGCCCTCAGAAGTGCGCCAGGTCGTGTTGAAGGGCGCCCGGCTGTACGGGTCCGCCAAAACCTGCCGCGGCGACCGGGAGTGTCCCAAATGGGAGTACTGCTCGGACCAGACCGGGGTCACCGTCGGCTTGTGTACGGTAGGTCCAATGCAGAACAAACAAAAAACAAGCAAACAAATTAGAAAGGACATTTGCAAAGCAAATGCATACTTTTTTACCTTCGCATATGGTCTGCTATGTTAATTATTACTCGAAGACATTCAACTTCAGCGCACATAGAACCAGTAACACCTAGCTCCAGTGCACAGTGAACCAGTAACACCTAGCTTCAGTGCACAGTGAACCAGTAACACCTAGCATCAGTGCATAGTGAACCAGTAACACCTAGCTCCAGTGCACAGTGAACCAGTAACACCAAGCTTCAGTGCATAGTGAACCAGTAACACCTAGCTTCAGTGCACAGTGAACCAGTAACACCTAGCTCCAGTGCATAGTGAACCAGTAACACCTAGCTCCAGTGCACAGTGAACCAGTAACACCTAGCTTCAGTGCACAGTGAACCAGTAACACCTAGCATCAGTGCACAGTGAACCAGTAAGAATTATCCTGATGAAGTTGACAGATGTACATCGAAACGTCTTCTCTTGTAAACAAGTGTTTGTGAATTAAAAAAAAAAGAACGCTGTAATTCAAACGTACTGTCGTACTAACACGTGTAACAAGTGTTTGTCAACCTTTTTTCCACGTAATTTTTTTTCTTTATTAAGTTCGTTATTAAGTTTCTCAAATTTCGAGTTGATGCTCAACAAATGTGTTTTTCTACTCCAGGGCCAGGACTGCTACAGTGACGCAGACTGCGAGGGCGCGAAATGCAAGCAGGGAAGCATGAATCCCAAACGAAAGGGATACTGTATGATGTAACATTCGTCAGTATTAATAATTAGTGGAAATGTTATGAATGATACAAAGTCCGCACCAATCCAATTGTTTTGCTTAATGGAAACATCTTTGCTGCAAATTAAATGTTATCGACAATACCAAAGTATAACTCTTACATCTTGAATTAAAAAGCTCAGGTTAACCAAGTAGTCATGTCTGTGGACCAATGAATGCCAATAGCGAGTGATGCAGTTCATTCAACTTCCGCTAGATGACGCCAATGTATAGTGGACTTATGCAAACAGCCAGTGGGTCAGTGCAAGACTTTATAGACTGAAGTACCGAAATATATGCTTGTTGTTGAAACTTGGAATTGAATCGACAAAGGGACGATGAAGGCAGTTGTCTACAAAACAACGATTCTGTGAAGTTAGCTTTCTCAATCTTTTTGAGTTGGACAATTGAATCTGTGAATCTGAATTGAAGCGCTGTGAAATAAAAACAATACTTAAACCCTGTTTCTAGATCTCTATTCCATCTACAGTCGAGTCTGATTGAACTACTGAGGGACTTAATTTTGTAGGTTCTGTTATTATTCCACAACTAACATGTCTTTATAAATTCCGCCAAGAGACTTAAGAAGAAGTCAAACCCAGTAAAACTATAGCTTGTACCATGTATGTTGTAGAATATAGTATAATGTTACGGACGTCTCACATACCATTGTATTTTCTTTCTCATGTTGTTTGTAACTGCAATTAGCCCTCGGGCACGTATTTGCAATAAACTTTCTATATTTCGTCACAGAGACGACACCGAAACATAATCTGCCACCGTTGTGGGTAACGGGCACCATGTTCTATATAAAAGTTTTCAGTACTTGGTCATGACACAAACTTGTACACAGACATGCACAACATACAGTACCACCCATATAGCATCCTGTATATGCACGATTTGGGGGGTATTTCTAGTTGCGAAACGCAACGAATGCGGAAGTAACTATGCCATCGCAGAGCAAAAAAGTTAGGGGTCTATGACCTGATTGGGACATCAAACTAGGCCACAGCAAGTAATTTTTATGGATGACATCAGCGCGCGCATTAATTTTCACCCGATTTTGAAAAAAAAACAAGAAATTTTGTTGCCCTCTGACAGTAATCACCATGCCGAAAATGGGCAAAGATGTCTGTTGCCATGTTGCCGGAAGGTGGGTGGCAGATAAATATGAAGAGACGAGACGAGAAAAGGCTCTGATTTAATGTTTTGTTTCTTACTTTGATGCAGTGATATGTGATGCTGGCTGTGTATATGTGATGTTCCCACTGAATCAAAACATTTGTACAATGATTGAGTCAAAATTTTAAAATGTAGGAACCTTGTTTTTTTCGCCCGCTCGCATTAGATTTGGAGTCTGCGGAGGATGTCATCCATAAAATTTACTTGCTGCGGCCTTATTAAAAAAAATAATGTGTGAAAAATGCCAGCAGGGCTATTCTATTGCACCGGATACATTCTTCTAACTACTAATTGATTTCTAGACAATTATTGATATATCTATCTATAATTCAGTTATAAAAGAAACCAAGTAAGTCCACAACACAGCAAAATTGGTGTTTTTTACCAACCCTTTAATAACTTATAAAAAAATCCCGCTTACATATAGATTATCACTCGTTAGCACCAGTTTGACCGTTCATAACTATGCATGATAAAAACATATGGAGAAACTGCACGAGAAGGTAACAGTAAGAAAACAATATATTTCACTCCACACTATAGTATGGAGTGAAATAATAATTTAGTCTTTTCAAACTGGATAGATTTTTAGTAAGCAAACGTTTTGGGTTCATTCGACACCCTTCGATCAGGAATTTTCGGGACGAGAAACAAAGTTAACGAAAATTTCTTTGTAATCATTCACTGATGATGGGTATCGGCTAAACCCGAAACGTTTGCTGATTAAAAATCTATCCAATTTGAAAAGACTAAATCATTATTTCACACCATACTATAGTATGGAGTGAAATATTGTTTTCTTACTGTTACTACGTACCCTGGATGAGTAATCACCAATGCATGAGAAGATGCTACAACAGTTACTATACATGGAATGTATATGCCACACCGGTACACAAAATACACGGTATCATGTCATTCAGTCTAACTATGCAATATATTTTGCACTAGGATACAAAATATAAAGAGCTATTGCATACTTCTGGATACGTATATGCTGTAACAAATATTCTTGGAGCTGCCTGATACACTTTGCATTTGCATTTCATATACAGCTTGTAGCATATATGGTGAAAACGGGTATGTGTACCTACGTATGTACATGTGCACATGCACATGTAATACGTGTACAGTGTATCTGTGATGTCTGGATTGTATTCTTACAACTGAGGTTCGACTGGTTTTGCCTGGCATGTTCCAAACTATTATACTCGTACTGATGTTGTCACTATATAACGTATACAGCCTCCTTAGTAAGAACAAAACTCTCAAGTAAAACGTAAGGAAGATAGTTATTCTAAAGAAGAGAATTCATAGAAGACAACTTTTCAGGGCAATAAATTATAGCCATTATAACTTCCATAGCGTATTTCTTTTAAGTGCATTGATTAAAGATAATACTGGATACCTACATAGCACAGCAAATAGACTTCGTCTCCCAAAATGTGGTAGAAAATAATCTTAAATAAATTAACACTAAAATCCTTGTAAAGTACTGGCAAACATATATAGACAGGCACACAGCTAAAAAAAGTATTAAAGTTGAAATATCCAAACTATCTTATCAACACAAAGAAACAAATAGCAGACCCACGATAACATAAGCTATTATTAGCCACATATAGAACACCAAATTACGACCAAATTTATACAAATAAATGTCATTTTATAAATGTATATAGATCAAAGAGCAAAATAAATACATCTCAACTGCATTAGCAGTGGTAAAGGAACAAATTATTTTAGAACATCGGCAAAGTTAACTAGTTATGCATTGTGATGCAAAGTTATATCTAAAATGCCGGCCATTTTGTCCCCCATACACTGAGTGTACTTATGACGTCATATTCCCATTTTATAGAACGTCCAGTGCAGAGCATGATGGGATCGTTTAGGATAAAACAAAATGGCCGACCAAAAGAATTTCGTGACGTCACATGCCGATGTTCTTTGACAGTAATATGCCACAGACAGCAACTTATGTTAAATATATGGAAGTAGTATTACTATCCTATAATTGCATAGTTAATGTTTCTTTTTTGTCATTTTTGTGTGTGAAGTGCTAGTGGTTGGAGTCACAGTTTAACACACTATTCAAACATACACTGTACTCCACGATTTTTCCAATTCTTTTGACAAAATACGCCCCCAAAGTGTGACGAGGGCATGTGCGTAACGTAGCAGACTAGAATAAGTTTTAAAGTGACCTAAATGTCTGTATTTATCTTTTGACAAAAGAATGCCACACGTAGGACTGTAAGGCCAGTGTCAAACTGGATGTGTTGATATCTCCCAACAGATTATTTCCAAACCAGGAAAACAGAGAGGGCCGTCTGAACAAAGATACTCTCGAACACCCCTGAAAAACTCAGCAAAGATTTCTTCTACACCATCAATTTTTGCAGGAATTTGTTTGCATCGAAGTAATCGGAGCTGTCGTCATCGTTTTCTTCTTCCGAGCTGTTCACTTCTTTCAAGTGTGACTTGGCCAGGGCCTCTGGGTCGATGACCAGGGCTTCAAACTTGAACTCCACTGGTTGATCCTGCTTGTACATGGCCCCTCCCTCTTTGGGGAAACAGACGCCCCAGTCGGTACCCATGAAGGCTGTGCAGTACTTCCCGTCTCCGGTACACTCGCTGTCAGACTTGCACAGCTGCGGCGTGGTCGTTTTCACCGGGCAGATGGAGATACCGGGGAAGAAGGCGGGAGCGTTGATCTTGGGCCAGCAGATTCCTTCATCAGATCCAAGATACGCAGTGCAGTATTCGTCGATCGCACATTCGTCTTGCTTCTTGCAGAGCTTGCAGAGGGTGGAGGAGGCGGGGTTGCTGCTGCCTCCTTGGCTGGTTTCATCTGGTTTGGGAACCGGTTGGAACTGGATTTCAGCGACAGGAACTTGAGCGGCCGCCACGGCTACAGGCCAGCAAACGCCTTTGTCGTTGCCGAGGTAAGCGGTGCAGTATTCTTTCGCCTTGCAGTCGCTGTCGTCCTTGCACAGATTGATTTCCGAGGTTGGCTTGGAGTCACCGCCATCCCCACCACCACCTCCGCCGAAGTAGTTACAGAAGCTCTGGCCAGGAATGGGGTTAGGAGGACCGGGAACGCCGGCTTTGGGCCAGCACAGACCCTTGTCGCTGCCTTTGTACGCAGTGCAGTACTCAGAGGCGTCGCATTCGTCGTCCGCGGAGCAGAGCTTGCACGCGAACGCCGATCCCGTCACGGACGTCAGGGAGCTGGCCTCGCCGATGACGGCGACTGGCTGAGCCTGCGCTTCCAGGGCGCTTGCAGCGGGGGCGCTGCCGCCACCGCTGCTCGGGATGGAGGCAAGACGAGGGTAGCACACGCCAGTGTCGTCGCCCTTGAACGCGGTGCAGTACTCTGTCTCCTTGTTGCAGTCCGCGACGCTCTTGCACATCTTGAAGTCGGGGGTACCGGAGCAGAGGTCTACGCCCGGGACGAGGTTATCGGGAACCATCGGGCCTTGGTTGGGCCAGCACAGCCCCTGGTCCGTCCCCTTGTAGGCCGTGCAGTATTCGCTGGAGAGGCACTCTGAGTCGCTGGAGCACAGCTTGCACCTCACTTTGCCGAGCGGTGTGACAGTCGCCACGGGCTGTGCCTGTGCGGGAAGAAGTAACCCTGCGAAGTCGGGAGCGCCGTTCTTACAGACGGTCTTCCCGGGGATGAGCAGGCCGAAGCCCACGCGAGGCCAGCAGACGCCGTCGTCGCTCCCGAGGTAGGCCGTGCAGTAGAACCCGCTGCCGCAGACGGCGTCCGACTGGCAGAGGTTACACAGGGTGGAGTCGTCTTGCGGTACGGGCTGGTACTGGGCGGGCGGCACAACTGCAGGGGCATCTCCCTTCGGAATGCAGACGCCTTCCTGGTGGTTGAGGGACAGGAGGAAGGTGTTACAGTACTGACCGACGGGGCAATCTCGATCGCCTGTGCACCTCTTGGCCGAATCTGCGGTCATCTGCTTGCAGATGGTTGAGCCGGGGATTTTCGGGGGTGTCGGGCCGCCTTGCCGAGGCCAGCACAAGCCGTCGTCGCTGCCCAGATAAGCCGTGCAGTAGTCCTGGGAGTGGCAGTCGGCGTCGCTGGTACAGACGGTACAGATGGCGTTCCCGTTACCGGGGTCGCTGGACTGGCGGAGGTGTCCCGTAGGGTCGTCGGCTGAGCCGGAGCGCAGCCCCGTGTTCATGGGCATGCAGACGCCGTAGTCGTAGTACCCCATCTCGGTCCACGCGCCGTGGAGACAGACCTCCCCAAATCCGCACTGGCTGTCCTGGGAGCAGTACTTGATGCTCTCGGCGGCTTGATTTCCTGCCGACGCGCGCGGGTCGCTGCCCTGCGTGAGGATCAGGAGGTTGCCTCCGGAGGCCCCGGCAATCGACGGCCGCCAGTTCTTCGGCATGCACACTCCGTAGTTGAACCTACCGAACTGGGTCCACTCGCCCATCACGCACTTGCCTCCGATGGGACACTCGCTGTTGGACTTGCAGTAGATGACTTTGGACGGGCCCTGGGACGGGTCTGTCCCCATCACCCCAGGGTCCATTCTTTCCGCTGCTGCCAGAGGCGGGTTGATGAACAAAGGGAGGCAGCGCCCGTCGGGGGAGCAGTACTCGCCGGTGCGGCACTCTGCGAAGGAGGTGCAGCGTGTGTGGGCGACATTGACCGGTGCGGAGGGACCGTGCACAGGCGGCTGGGGGATGGCCTGCTGGCCGGCTATCCTCGGCATGCAGACGCCGTAGTCGAACGAACCGAACTCCTTCCAACTCTCCGGCCTCATCAAGCAGTACTCGCCAGGCCTACACTCAGTGCTGGACTTACAATAGTGAACCCTCGGCTGCGCACGTACCTCTGGTACCGGCTGGGCTTGAGCTTGTGCTGCCACTTGGCCGGATGCCATTTGCTGGTTGTCAAACATGGACTTGCAAACACCCTCGTAAGAGCAGTACTCGGACTGGGGACACTGGGAGCTCATGGTACAGGGCGTCTGCGATATCTGTCTCCTCGGCATACACACTCCGTAGTCGAACTTTCCGAACATGCCCTCCCAAGCGCCGAAGAGACAGTACTGCTGGCTGGGACATTCGGCGTCGGAGTGGCAGTAGACGATGGAGTTAGGATCGCCCATATCGTGAGGAAGGGCGTTCCCTACGGACAGAGCCTGCCTCTGGTCAACGCTCTGGTACGGGTCGGCCTGGCGGTGCTGGACTTCCGAAGGTTCCGACTGGTACACGGGGAAGTTGTCCGGTCCGTACTTGTACCCCTTGGGCATACACACGCCGTAGTCGAGGTACCCGAGGTTGGTCATCCACTCTTCGTTCAGGCAGAAGTGGCCGGAGGAACACTCGTCGTTGGTACTGCAGTACTGAACGGTTTCGCTTGGAGCGCTCCTGTGCTCTGGCGGTTCGCTGAAGTCGGTGAAGTCGACCTTGCTGCCCGGGTAGAGGCAGATGCCAGAGGCGAGCTTGCTCACCCACTTGCACACTCCCCCCGTGGGACACTCCTTGTCGTAGTAACAGTAGTAAAGGTTATACCGACCGGGCTCTCCCGGAGACAGGAGGTTGGTGACGAAGGCGGGGGGACTGCTGTCGTGATTCTGGGTCTTGGGGACGCAGATGCGCGGGAAGGTCCCGTCCACTTCGTACCAGGACGTCGCCGAGCACTTGAAGTGGTGACCGCACTCCTGGTCCTCCTCACACGGGACGAACGGGCTCTCCGTGTCCGACCAGCCGTCAAGAGAGAGACGGTCCTGAAGAAAATAAAACAGAGCAAAATGTCGTTGACTTTCAACTTCTATGTATGCTCAAGGATGGGTAGACTGTAGTTCCTTTTGTTCAAAGCAAATTGAAGATGCGCATGAATTTCACTTGTCATGGGCCATTGACTGACATGGGATGCTCTAGATATGATGTTTCATGTAATAAACTATTCGCACTTCTCAAATCAAGTAAAAAAATCAAGCGACTAGATGCTACAGATTTTGATATATCTTTATATACAACAACTTCCACAATGCAAAACTTGGTAAAGATCTTAAAAACGTCTTTGTTATAAGAAAAAAAATACATTAAGCTCATGATTAGTTACACTCGATTGCAATACTATCCAAGAGTTGTATCCATACATTGTACTGTGTACAATTTTAGTACAAAAAGTTCTTCTATCCGTATGACATCAACATGTCAAATCTTTATATCCTCCAAGCATATAAGAAAGAATAGGGCCATTTTCTGTGTGGGTTAGGGTTAGTCAAACTACATATGGCAGATTTCAATGAAAAAACAACTATCATCTATACGTTACCTCCTACCTACAAAAAAGTTGGAGCGGAATATTGAGCTGATACGTAAAACATAATGATAATCAAATGATTCGTGAAAATATGATCGGTATGTCCCCAGTACTGATAAGTGTCTATAGGACGACAGTCGCCATTGTGTTCGAGTTATTTTAGAAGTATTTCCTTTCGGCGATCGCGTGACTTCTGAATCGACCCCCAGGAACGCGATCCAGACAAAATGGCGGAATTGTTTCCGACGTGATTTATGACCTATCAATCAGAATAAAACTCTTCTGCCTGCAGCTGAAAGAAAAACTCTCCAATCAAAGATTTTTGTAGAAGATTGTGACCTTTCTATCTTATATACTCCATTTTCTGTCGCCACTATCCACCAACTGTCCCTTCCTTGTCTTTTGAGCCTCTGATTGGTTGCAAAGGTTTGTGGGAAGAAGTGACAGAAATCGGGCATGGTAGAAAGGTCACAATCTTAGCTTCTCCACCAACCTCTGCTTGGAGAGTGCAGCTGGACACACTAGAGTAAACCTAGTATCACATTTGAGACAACCAGGCAAAAAAAAGCTAAAAGAAACTTCTGGTGCTGCTACAAACATCATTTCACAAGCCTATCCTCGTTGTTTTTTTGGAGTTCTTACGACATGATCTAGTGATGGATTGAAAGCTAATTGTGACATCTACTGACTGACAGAAGTTGATTACAGCTAATTAAAGCTCTGGGTGTAATTAGCGTCTCTCAATAATTACCACGAAATTATTGTCACTGAAGAACGAAATTGCTCGATTCTATTAAGATTTTAGACATAGATTGTGGCCATTGTTTTCAGCATGATATATCAGTACAGAAGCTAAGGAAGAGACGTCTGTTGTCTGAGACGTATCAAAATCATTTGCATCTAAAAAGTGTTTAAAAGCCTTTAATGTATAGGTACCATACTGTTATCAACGCACTAAGTGCTCTTCGTAGGTCCTGCCATTAAAAGCTTAAGAAATGTAAAAAATGTAAAAAATGGCAGCATGCTCTGAAAAGAAAAGTTAATCTCAAACAGTTGCAACTTGAAGATGTATGCTGTGTAATGTTCAGATCACTTATACATTAATGAATTTCTTCTATACTCACGTTATGAAGAATCGTAGGGGCGCCGAGTGCGCAGTCTCCAACAATCATGAGAATCAGGATACCGCACAGCATCATGGGATTGCCCGCCATCTTGAGGCTCTGGTAGCCCTGCATGAGCACAAGTGGTTCAAATTTAGTCATACTCGTAACATGTCTACATCACAGTAATCTTACAAAATAAACCATAGCTCCACTCTTTCAACATTTAAGAAGGAAAATAGTTAAAGATCTAAGATGAATTCATCTCAGATGTGTGACTTGACGCTGAAACGTTTTCTCGTCTGTGATTGGCAGTCAGAAGACAGAAACTGAACTCCAAAATACTACAAAATACTCAAATTCACTGCCACAAATGAAAAAAGGCCAAGATTTGGTTTATCACATTCCTCGTTTGTAAAAAAAACGGAAGAAAGGCATTATCATTGTTACCTACTAGTGAATTGTTTGGAGGAAGGAAAGAGTGAAAAAGTAGGAAGTTTCTCAACCACTGTGGCAAAGATAACACGACCACAAGTTCCTTCCAAAACCACCACCTACCTGCGCGCCACCTGTATGCTAACTGGTACCTAATCTTTTGTAGGGCGCCTGTTTATGACCGACCTGTTGTTGTCAAGGGATTATCTAAAGCCACATTGAATAGAATATTTATTCCCCTACGGGTTTTGGGGCGTCGTCTCGTCACGTCTGATTTGTGAGCAGGTTAATGTGGACACAATGTACTATTATATGCTTTGAAGAGCAGACAAATTATTAATGTGCTCGGGGAGTTTATTTTTACAACTTCCAATTGAGGTATTCAGGTATGAGTTGGTCATAATACTCTTGATTCGAATCATTGGAACTTTTGAACAACGTTTGATCGCAGAAAGTTTTTCTTGATAAGTTAGAGGAATTTCTTACGCATTGTGGAACACCTCAGGCATATTACATGCTTCTTGGGCTCTATTTTTACTACTTCCAATTGAGGTATTCAAGAGTTGGTTGGATAATAATAGCTTGGAATACTCCTGATTTGAATCTTTTGAGCTCTTGATCGCAGAAATTTGTCCTGATAAGTTACAGGTATTTCTTATGCACTATGGAACACCCCGGGCATATTATTACTATTTTTAGTACTTCTAACTGAGATAGTCAGGCATGAGTTGGTTGGATAAGAATAATTCAGAATATTCCTGATTTGAATCATTCGAGCTCTTGAACAACATTTGATCGCAGAAAGTTTACATTTTTGTCTTGACAAGTTAGAGGTATTTCTTATGCATACCTAGAACACATAGGGCATATCACCCATGTGTTGTATAGGTCTATTTGAGTTGCTTTGATAAAACTAGCTTAGACTACTCCTGATTTGAATCTTTCGAGCTCTTGAACAACGTTTTATCGCAGAAAGTTTTGTCTTGCCAAGATAGAGGTATTTTCTTATGCATTATGGAACACCTCAGGCATAGTATGTGCTTGGTGCACGTGGGCAATATTTTTACTTCCGATTGAGGTATTCAAGTATGAGTTGGTTGGATAAGAATAGCTTAGAATACTCCTGATTTGAATCTTTTGAGATCTTGATCGCAGACATATGTCTTGACAAGTTAGAAGTATTTCTGATGTAATATGGAACACCTCGGGCATATTATTACTACTTTTAGTACTTCTAACTGAGATAGTCAGGTATGAGTTGGTTGGATAAGAATGATTCAGAATCTTCCTGATTTGAATCATTCGAGCTCTTGAACAACATTTGATCGCAGAAAGTTTACATTTTTGTCTTGACAAGTTAGAGGTATTTCTTATGCAT